AAAAAAAAAAACACACACACACAGAAGAAAGAAGAAGAAGAAGTAAAAGAAGGCGGCTCAGCTGGTACGGTAGAAGGCCTATTCTGGAAACTGCCATGATGGGTGGCTAAAAAAAAAAAAAAAAAAATTGAAGATACTTAACCCTGAGCCAAACGGTATGTGTCTGTGTGGTGTGTGTGAGTATGTACATGTGTGAGACTGCATATGTGTGTGTATGTACATTTGTGTGGTGTGGGGTATGTGTGTGAAGGGGGGTGAAGGTCCCAGAGGCGGCCCTGGGACAAAGCGCTCCTGCCACTCGTCCCCAGCATGGCACAGCCACACAATTCAGAGCACAGCAGAGCCCACACCTGGAGGCTGGGCTCCCCTTGCAGGTGGGGTTAGCAATAGCCAACATGAAAAATTCCAGATAGCAAATCTCCCCTGGCCACCTGACTACATATTTCAAACATTATCTGATGTAATGAAATTCAAGACCATTCACAGTCTTTTTTAAACTTCTGACTACAACCCACATTGAGGTTAGTTACATGATTGCCAAGAGGGTAGGGACACAGGCTAGGTAACAAGAGTTCAGACTCAGCCTGATTGCACAGGGTGCGCTCTGACCTGTCCCAGTCCGCTGTTTGTGGTGGTGACCCACTAAATTGATTTTGTGACCCACTTGTGGATTCTACTGCAGCTTGGACTTGCAGTCTCCGTGCACATGGAAAATCATTCCCTCCACGGAAGTAGGTGGGCCTCCCCGCAGCAGGCCCCAGCCTCAGTGAGTATCACCAAGTGCCACCAAGCCCCCACAACCCTGCTGAGGAGGAAGAAGCAGGCTTCCCTGACCATCTTTAAAGAAAAGGGGGCGCCACGGTGGGCCCACTCAGGTCCAGGCTGGCAACCACAGGTCCACCTGTCCAAGACCCAAGGCGAGGCTGGGCCATTCCCTGCAAGGGCGTGGTGGTCCCTTAGGGCTTGCCCAGCGGCGCCCCCGCGCTCTGGGATCTCTGCACCAGGAGGATGAGCCTGGCGACGTCGGAGAGCGCCGGGAACGCGGCCATTACACGGTCCACCTGGTCGCGCGGGAAGACGCTGTAGAGCGCGATGCGAGCCCGGGCGCGAGCCTCCCCCTCGTCCTCGGCCGCGTA